TCTGCAAGAACAACCAGTGTTCTTAACCGCTGAGCCATCTCTCCAGCCCCTGTAAATTTAATAGAAACCTTTTATTTTTACTAGCAGAGCGTCTGCACCTAGACCTTTGCATGACCAAATGAAGTTATGAATGGATCTTAGCCTTGAACATTGTACAACTGAATGGATTTCACCTCTGTGAATCACCACCATGGCTGCCAGTTGGACTTTACATTAGTGTGAAGTCAACTACTGCATTAAACCATTGAGATTTGGCAACTCTTACTGCAGCTAGTACCAACATAATCAATTCTGAATTGGTTGCTCCTACAAAATTTACCTTTGTTACTACAGGGTCCTTGGAAGGAGGAAAATGTGAAATCATTCCAGGGAGAAATGCCCAAGGCCACATGCAGAAGCACATGGACTGTGGAAGCAGGTGTCCACTTTGACATTCCAGTCATTGGACCTTGGACACATTACTTAACCTCTGTGCATCCCCTTCTTTCTAGATGCAGAGGGGATGCCAAAGTCTTCAAAATTATTTCTTCTTTTAACCCTCTGATTTTGGGGATTTGTTTTGCTTTTGGATTTTTGAGATAGAGTCTCATGTTGCCCAGACCACCATCTTGGTCTTTTTTTGAGACAAGGTCTCCCTGTAGCCCCAGCCCCTCTCCATTTCTCATTGGAACTCGCTATGTAGACCAGGCTGACATTGAACTCACAGAGATCCACCTGCCTCTGCCTCCCAAGTGCTGGGACTAATGACATGTGCCACCACACCTGGCAGTTCTGGTGTTTGTGATAAACTGTGTCAGAGAGATGACTTCAGCACTTTGAGTGTCCTTTCTTTGCAATACAGCTTTGTCCCTGATCATGAGCAGTTTGCTGAATGTGTTCCACCCAAGTCAGCAGGTACTTTGGCCCCTGTGGATTTGGGATATGTTAGCTTTAGATGGATCATTAACTCTAGGAAGAATGGTCACCTCTGGACCCTATGTGTTTTTAACCACAGGCCTGCAGAGGAGATGTCCATTCTTGGGACATTTATATGCATTTATTTGTCTGTTTCAGAAGTCTAAAATCAGCCTCACTTGGCTAAAGATCAGGATGTTAGCAAGACTATGTACATTTCTGGGGGCTCTGTTGCCTGTTGGGGGACCCTGCTGCTAAGGTTGCAGTCCACCATGTCCAGGTAGCTCTAAGGAGCTCGGCACTGTATGGAGGATTCCCTTTCTCAGTGGGGGCTTCCTGCTCTCTGCCTGACCTTATCTGGAAAGAGCCTCCAAGCACGGATGCCTGGCCTTATTTGGAACATGACCTTCGGCCTAGTTACCTGCAATAAACTGCCCCTAGGTTTTTTTCTATATGATAATTAGGCATTGCCCTATAGCCAGATGATAGGATCCCCCTACCACATGTAAATAAAGCATACTATGAACATCTATCAGGTGATGCTTTGGCTGATACCTCCACCCTATATTTTTCCCTGACCCCCACTGAATAAACGGAGCCGTATCACTGAATATGACTCCCCAGAAGGTCTTTTCTGTCATGCTCACTGGCCGTCCTGACTGCGTGTGTTGCTTCTGCTCCCTTTGTTCTTGTGGGTCGGTGGCCAACAGCCCACGAGGGGAGGGAGAGACCCACAGTTGCCCACACTTGATAACTTGTGGCCCCACCACCTCCAGCCTCTAAGCCAGCAATGACAATTCTCACATCTTGTCACTTAGACAAGAATGACCCTGCCTCTCTCATATTTTAAAGAATTCTTATGCATATATTGGTGTATTAATCACTTTTCTCATTGCTATGACAAAATAGTTGACAAAAAGCAATTTAAGGAAGAGTTTGTTTTAGTTCCCAGTTTGAAGGAATACAGTCCATCATGGTGGGGAAAGCATAGTGACAGGAACTGGAAGCAACTGATCACGATCTGTCCACAGGAGTGCTGGTGCTCACCCATCTTGCTTTCTTCTTCTGTTTTTTTTTTTTTTTTTCTGGTCTAGGACCCCAGCCCAGGAGATGGTACCACCCAGATCATTCAGGGAGGGTCTTCCCTCCTCTGTTAAAGCTCTCTGGAAACAACCTCACCGCCATACTCAGAGGTGTGTCTCCTAAGTGATTCTCAAACCAGAAAAGCTGGCAACGAACATTAAGCATCACAGTTGGCCTGCTTGGATAAGAAGATAATATATTCCTAAATAATCTATGTGTTAAAAAAAGAAATCTCAGTGAAATGAATGAAATGAGTTAGGGACTAAATGTATTATTTTCCATGCTAGTCCTGGGCACAAGCAATCCTCCTGCCTTGGCCTCCAAAGTGGCTAGGGCTACGTGTATTTACCACTTTACCTGGCTGTAATATGCTTTGAAATAAATAACCACGAAGGTATAATATATTGAGAAAAAGATTCTTATAAGAAAGTTTGTAGCCTTTATCCCATAATTTAGAGTAGAATAGAGACTGAAAAATCAATGATCTTAACTTTCTTTTAATATTTTTATTTTTTTTGTGTGTGTGTATGAGTGTATTGTCTGCATGTATGTATGCATACTAGGTAGGCATGCAGTGCCCAAAGAGGCCAAAGGGGGGCATCAGATCCCCTGGAACTGAAATTATAGAGAGTTGTTAGCTACCATGCGGGTGCTGGGAATCCAACCTAGGTCCTCTTAACTTTCTCTTTTAAAAACATATTTTTATTTATTATTTTTATTTTATGTGTATGACTGTATTCCCTGCATATGTGTAAATACACCCCTGTCATGCAGTGCCCATGGAGGTCAGAAGAGGATGTCAAATCCCTTGGAACTGGAGTTATGTATGATATCTGCCATATGGGTGCTGGGAATCAAACCCAGGTCCTCTGCAAGAGCAGCCAGTGCTCTTAACCCCTGAGCCATCTATCCAGTCCCTAGAAAGGTATAGAGAATTTAGCTCAACAGCAGAGTCCTTGCCTAGCATGTGCAAGGTCTTGTGTTCAATCCTTAGCACTGCAAAAATTAATTAGATATGAGTTTGGTCAGGTATACTAACACATACCTATAATTGAAGCAGGATTGAGGCAGAAAGACAGAAAGTTCGAGGCCACGTTGAGTGTATTGTAAGACCCTGTCTCATAAAACAAAAAGCAAGCTAGATAAAGAGTAATATCCAAAGACAGTCAAGAAAGCAGAAACCAATGAAATAACATGAATGTTACAGTAGAGAAAAATGTAAAAGCCAAAGTTTTGTTTTTTTATAAAATATATAAAATCTTGGCAAAATGAACCAAGGGAAAGGAGTAAGCATAAATTACCCATGCACATTATAAACTTCAAAGGAGCAAGGTTTGGTAGCACAGACCTATAAACCCAAGTACTTAGGAGGCTGAGGCAGAAAGTTCATTAGTTCAAGGCCAACCTGGGCCACTTAGGGAGCCCTTGTATCAAAATAAAAAATGGAAAATGGGTTCTAGGGATATATATAGTAGTAGAGAAAGTGCCCAGCACATGCCATGCCCTGGATTCAATTCCCAGTATCACAAAAAAAGAAAAACAGTTAAAAGGTACTATGGCCTGTGACTTTGCCTGAATAATATTGACGTTCAGATGATTTCGTGTGTGTGTGTGTGTGTGTGTGTCTAAGAGAAAGATGGAGAGAGAGGCATGCAACTTTCTATCTTTGAGAAAGAATTTTAATTTAAAATTTTATTATTATTATTTTCAAACAAGATCTCTCATTGAACCAAGAACTCACTGATTCAGCTAGGCTGGCTTACCAGCAAGGGCCAAGGATCTGCCTGGCTCTGCCTCCCTCACTCTGGGATTATGAATGCTCTCCACTATGCCCAGGTTTTTACAGGGATGGCAGGGATCTGAACTCAAGTCCTTATGCTTGCAGAATAAGCACTTAAAGACTGAGCCATCTCCCTAGCCTCTAGGAGAATTTAAGAGGCAGTACTTACCAATACTGAAACTTGAGGTATTAGAAAATCTATTTCTCTCTCTCTGTCTCTCTCTCTCTGTCTCTCTCTCTCTCTCTCTCTCCTCTCTTTCTGTGCAGAATCCGAGAGTTGAGATGTCACTTCCTTGGCGACACCTTTCTCCAACCTCTAGGAGCGAGGCGGGGTGAGATGTAGCTTTTTGTTTGATGGTCTCGGTTCTGCCGCTGTACCTGCAAGTCCTTGTCCGCTGACCCATATATATAATCCCAGAAAGAAAGACAGAAAGAGAAGAGAGACAGGGTCTCCCTGTAGCCCCAGCTGTCCTGGAACTCACTATGTAGACCAGGCTGGCCTTGAACTCACAGAGATCCGCTTGCCCCTGCTTCCCGAGTGCTGGGATTAAAGGCGTGTGCCACCAAGCCCGGCTTTAAATTTTGTTATTTTTATGTGTATGCATGTATTGCTTGCATTTGTGTAAGTACACCCGTGTTGTGCATTGCCCACAGAGGTCAGAAGAGGGCATCAGATCCCCTGGAATTGGAGTTACAGACAGTTGTTAGCTGCCATGTGGGTGATGGGAATTGAACCCAGGTCCTCTGCAAGAGCACTCAGTGTTCTTAACTGCTGAGCCATTTCTCCAACCATTTAATTCAACATTCTTAAAGTTTGATTTGGACTTACTGGACTTTTCCCAGGCAGAGGTCAGGAGGGTGAGAAACCCTCTGTGGCTCAGTGTGGCACCAGATCTGTGCCTAGTGCAGCAGGGACTCTGTGGTGGGGGATGATGGACTATACCACGGGGGGGGGTGCGTGTTGTAGAGCCACTAAGGGGCAGTGGCACTGGTGAGGGGCACAGGGCCACTATGAATGGGGAGACAGCACCAGACCCTTGGCTTTGTCAACCTAGACTCCTTGAGAGAAGTCAGAATTCAGGAAAATTGGGTTGGTAAGTCGCATACACGTGTGCGGGCTTTCCTGGGCATGGAAATATCGTTTTCACCCTGTGGATCTGCCGTGGCTAGATAAAGGGCAGGCAGGATGCCCGGGGGAGGGATGGAGGGCGTGGCAGTGGCGATCAGCCCAGACCGAAGAACTTTTCCCAGTAGACAGAACCATCCCGCTTTCTGCAGGCTAAAGTGGAGCTAAGTTGAGGGAACAGGAACCTGACGCTGGTCTGAAGCTGAGAATGAGGCTTGTCATCTGCGTCCTGCTGTGCACTGGGGGCCTGGGTGAGTGTGCGCTGGGAGCCAGGCAGGGTAGGGCACTCCTAGGTGATCTGGGGAGGGCAGGTACTCTACCACCAGGGACTCTGCTGTGGATCAAAGGGAAAAGGAATCACTCTGAATGGAATTCACCTGCCATACTACTGCGTGGCGCCCTCCCCCCTTCTGAGCTTGTTTCATTCTGTAAAAATTGTGTTTGCACAACCAACACACAGTTTCTGGGAAAGTGAGATACTGTGCCTAGAGGCAGGCAGAGCTCTAAGGCTCATAAATGCAGGGGGCTCCTTTCTGTGCTGGAAGAGTGGGTTAATTCCTCTAGGAAGGATTCCTGCATGGAGAGCCTGCTCTGGCTCAGCCCGGATTGGATCTGTCCACCCTTCCCTCTCTGGTCTAAGGCTGTCTTAAATAACGGGTAGGCATCTTACTACTGTGGAGGTGGAAAGCTTTTGCAATGTGATGGCAATTAAGAACTTTGGAGCAGGAAGAGCTCCTAGACAAGAGAGACTGGGGTGATAAGCTGGAATCTCTCCCCCACCTCCTGTGGTTACCCAGGACAGAAGTCTTTTGGAACCCCTGTGGCCATATGTTACCTTGCTTAATCATCACACCTACCTTTTACTTAATTGTCACCTATATGCTGTTCTTGTACTTCCTCACGTGAATATAAAACCCTAAAACTGGAGGCCGGTACTGGCTCCTTTACGGAAGGCTCTGTGGGTCAGTCCGCTAGCGTAAAATTAAATCCCTCCTCACCTGACTTTGGCTGATGATCTCTGATTTTCCCGTAACATTACTTGAGGAAGGGGTATCCAGGGCACCGAGGAAAGGGCAGAAAGGGCAGCACGGGCAGGGAATGTGTCTGCCTCCTGGTTCAGCACTGCCACCTGCTACTGCCCAGGGGTCTCTCCCAGAACACAGTGTTGCTTCTGGTCTCTCCCAGAACAGAGTGTAGCTTCTGGTCTCTTTCCCAAATCCTCCTGAGCAGGGCCTGTGCTGTTTGTTCTTCCTCTGTCTCCTCTTCTCAGCGTTGGGCACTGACCAAAAGTTCATTTCCCCAACTGCCTCTGTGTTTACACATCAGAGGCTAGAGATGTCCCTCTGAGCCCCATTCTTCTTCTCTCCAGGCTAGCAGACCAGACTGGAGTCTGGCACACCTTTTCCTCAAAGCTCAGTGTTCTCATTTGACAAGAACTCTTCTAGTAGCAAAAGACAAAAAAGCAACCAAGGTAGTTAATCAAGAAACACCAAATTCAACACAGCTACCAGTCCTAAAGTGACACTCATTTTTAGCTAGGGCATGTTATGTCCCCTTTCTTAACGACAGGTAAGCCCTGCAAGAGCCAAGAGCCAAGGACCTCTTCTGGGGTTCAAGAATTTTATTCTGGGAGCAGGAGGCCACCAACACCCTTTCCCTTTGGTCTAAAACATTCACAGTGAGCTCCGATTACCCCTGTTTGCAATTGTCATGAAATGGCAAAACTAACTCCATTTTGTTCTAGCTGACTTGCTTTACCTTGTGTTTTTATCCAGCCATTCCCACTGTAGCCAGCCAGGCAGAACATCTCATGCAGACAGTTTCAGGGAGTACACTGTTTCTATAATACTGGGAAACTTACAAGTAGTCAGGTAGCATGTCCTCCCTCCCAGCTACACCCGCATCTCTATGGAGCCCATAGCTTCTGCAATTCTGTTGTAAAAATGTCTTTTTTTCCCCTTATCAAACCTCTTTAACTGACTTGCCCCTGGTCTGGTGTAACTATGATGATCTGATGTAATTATGATTATTGGCTTTGCCCATAGCATGATGTAATTATGGTTTTCAGCTTTATAAACCCTATCCTGCTTCTCCTTGGGGTCAAGAGTTCGTTTGGGCATTAGCCCCCTCTCTGACCACTGGCTATTAACAAAGGACTCCTGATTTGACTATCACTGTGTTGTTCCTCTGTGTGTCTTGCACAGTATTACAGTCAGGTAGTCAGAGGTGGAGTTCTAGTAATGATCCATCTTACCTTTTCTAGGTTATTTGACTCCAGTCACCCTTGCTTGTAGGCATTCTCTCTTTTTATTTATGTGAATGAGTGTATTGCCTACATTGTAAGTGCGCCTGTGTTGTGCAATGCCCGAGGAGGTCAGAAGAGGGCATCGGATCCCCTGAAACTAGTTACGGACAACTGTTAGCCACTGTGTGGGTGCTGGGATTCCAACCTGGGTCTTTTGTAAGAATTTGGAAGATTTAACCTTTTTTTTTTTTTAATGTAAAGAGTAAGACAGAATCAGAGCAACTGGCCTTGAGAAGTCAGGAGAGGGAAGCAGCTAATCCAGTTTGTGGGTGCCAGTTAGTTGGCTCTTTAGCTTGACTTTGAACTCTTGCCAGCAGAGGAAGGTTAGTGCATATCAAGTCCCTTACACATCCAGGCTGTCTCCCCTAGGGCTGTGCCTGGCTGTCCCTGAGAAGACTATAAGATGGTGTGTTGTGTCAGATCAGGAGGCCATTAAATGCTCCAGTTTCCAGGATAATATGAAAAAAGTGTTTCCTGCAGACGGTCCAACTGTTGTCTGTGTGAAGAAAGCCTCTTATCGTGAGTGCATCAGAGACATTTCGGTAAGTCGTTGCTGCCCGAGAGAGCTGAAGAAAGTCTGTACCTTCTCTTTATTCTTCTGCACTTTCCACTACACAGAAGAATGCACTTGCTGAACATTCATCGATAGTAAAAATCATAATCCCAACAAAACAACTAATAGAAGGTTCAGTCTTAGTAATATATCAGTGGTACAGCAAAGCCTTCTATTGTGCTAAGAGTGTCTGTAAACACTCAGAAATAAGGTACTTCAGTGTTGCTATCAGTTAATGTTTTGGAAATATTACTACGTTTAAATTAGTAAGAAAATATTATGAATACTTAATATTAGTAATAAAAACATTGCTTATATTTTTGGCAATTTCCTGGTAATACAATTGATATAAAATGCATGAAAGAGAGCTGGAGAGATGGCTCGGCGGTTAAGAGCACTGATTGCTCTTAGAGAGGACCTGGGTTTGATTCCCAGCACCCACATGGCGGCTATGAACCATCCTTAACTCCAGTTCCAGGGGAATCCGAAGCCCTCTTCTGACTTCCGCAGCATTGCATGACACGGGTGCACTTACATACATGCAGGCAATATACTCGTACACATAAAATAAAAATAATATTTTTAAAAATGCATGAAAGATAGAAAACAACAAAATATCACTATTTTCATATGATTTAATGCTTGGAAAATATAGAGGAATGAAGAGAAAAAATTATTTTTCCAAACTAATAATAAATTAGTTTGGCAAAATAAAATGCATTAAAAGTAGTGTCACTTAAAAAAAATATGAACAGTCATTAATTGAGGAAAACAGTCCCAAACTGTGATCCTATTTACGTTTAAAATGATAAACAGAGAAATATTTCTGGAAGAATATATGAGACCTGCCAAACTATTGTAATGTAAAAGTCTGAGACGTGAAAAATTAAAAAAAATATTTATGTGTATGTGTGTGTCCATGTATGTATATGAGCACATGTGTGCAGGGCTGGCAGAGATGAGAAGAGGGTGTCAGATTCCCTATAGCTGGAGTTACAGGCAGTTGTGAGCTGCCTGACATAGGTGCTGGGATCCAAAGTCAGGTCCTCTGCAAGATCAACAAGTGCTCTTAACCACTGGGCTATCTCTTCAACCTGTAAACAATATTCATTAGTAAATAAAAACATATACCATATTCCTCAGCAGAAACACTATCATGTACTTGCCTGTTTCCCAATTAATAAATTCAGTATACTTTTCATCCAAATATTCTTTCCAAAAGAATTAATAATCATAAAATTCTTAAGGTAAAAGGTATAAGGTTATTATAAAGTTTATATCCAGTAATATAACAAAGAGCATCTCTTTCTTTCTTTTTTTTGGGGGGTGCTGAATTTCAGACAGGGACTTCCTGACCTGGAACTTGGTAAGTAGAGAAGGCTGGCCTCCATCTCACGGAGATCTAACTGCCTGTGCCTCCCAAGTGCTTGGATTAAAGGTGTGCGTCACCACGCCTTCCAAAATTTTTAAAAAATTGAATCTATATTGACCTTAGACTGTGTTTTTCCATTCAGCTTTTATTTATTTTTTTAAATTTAATAACCACATGATTAGAAGAAGCATTTCATTATAGCTTTAACATATTCAGTAACAATTTCCAAAGCAAGGATACATCTCTTTCAAAAGTGGCTGTAAATTTTTAGGTTCACAGTTAATACAGTTATACATTGTTGAACTCAGTATAAACCCTGTAAGACATAAAATTGAATGAGTTTTTCAGGAGATACCTTCCTTTGAGTTATTGGCCAGGGTGGCCCAAAAGACTCCAAGACAGTAACGCAGCATAGACCTGGGAAAATGAACAGCAGACTCCAATCTTATCTAAAGGAATATTGACAACTGATTGCTCCTAGATGAGGAACAGCTGATCTTCCTAAAACAAGGAACTCTAGATAGGCTGACTAGATTCAGCAGATAGATAAGCACCGGGGAATGGCTGGGGCCACTGACAACACAGTGGACAGTAACAGGGATGACAGAGTATACGGGCTCCAGTGGGGGGCAGGAGGAGGAGGCTATGGGAGGGTGCCATTTCGGAAGTGGGTATATAGATGAATAAGATTGTGTGCAATGTTCTGTATGACACACACACACACATACACACACACACACACACACACAAGTAAAAAAAAGACATATTTGAGGAGGAAGCATAAAAATTTACTTCATGTTAATAGAGGTGATAAACATTACCATTGAAATCTACTTGATGACTTTATATCCATACTCAGGTGCCAAGGATCCAAATGTAACTGACTGTGACTAGTAATAATCAGATACATAGAGATTAAAGACACATGAGCAAACATCTAAGCGTTAGTTAGCATTAAAAATGTAGGGGCTGGGCGTGGTGGTGCACGCCTTTAATCCCAGCACTCAGGAGGCAGAGGCAGGTGGATCTCTGTGAGTTCAAGGCCAGCCTGGTCTACATAGTGAGTTCCAGGACAGCTGGGGCTACAGGGAAACCCTGTCTCAAAAAGACCAAAAAACAAAAAAGTAGGAAACAGCATTATTTTAAAATGAAATGGAGATTGTCTCAGACTGTTTTTTATTATTTCTTTAAAATTTTTTTTTTTTTGAAACAAGATCTCACAATGTAGCCCTGGCTGGCCTGAAACTCACTTGTAGACCAGGCTGACCTTGAACTCAGAGAATCACCGGCTTCTGCCTCCCGAATGCTGGCATTAAAGGCGTGAGGGACTCATTGCTTCTCTTTAAACAATATAGTACAGTAACTATTTACACAGTTTACATTGGGTTAATTATGAGTCCAGAGGTAACAAAGTATATGTGAGGACCTGCATAGATGGTATACCATGCCACTCCATCTTCCATTCGGATTTTGAACCTTTGTAGATTTTGCTATTGCAGGAGTGCCAGAACAATTTTCAGATGCTAAGGAATGACTGTACTAACTAAATTCAGAAAAACCAAAATTACTTTAAAGTCAATTAATAACTGAGTCTGGTGGCACATGCCTGTAACTTGGGAGGCTAAAGCAGGAGGATTTGAAGTTCAAGCATTACCTGGGCTACAGAATGAGTTCAAGACCAGCCTGGGCATAATGAGGCCCTGTCTCAAAATTTAAAAAGCAAAAAGAGGGCTATTTTGGGGGCTGGAGAGAAGGCTCAGCAGTTAAGAGCCCTGGCTGTTCTTGTAGAAGACCCGAGTTTGAATCCCAGCACCCACATGGCAGCTAACAACCATCCATAACTCCAGTTCCAGGGAATCCAAAGCCCTGTTTTAACTCTGCAGGTATTGTATGACACGGGTGCACTTACACACATGTAGGTTATACTCATAAAATAAAAATAAATTTTAGCCAGACATGGTAGCACACACCTTTAATCCCAGCACTCAGGAGGCAGAGGCAGGTGGATCTCTGTGAGTTCAAGGCCAGCCTGGTCTACATAGTGAATTCCAGACCAGCTGGGGCTACAGGGAGGTCCTGTCTCAAAAAGACCAAAAATAAATAATAAATAAATTTTGAAAAAGAGGGTTACAAGTAAAGCTAGTGATAGAGCACTTGCCTAGATGTACAGGGCCATAGTTTCAATCCCCAGTGCTTCAAAAAAGTCAATTCATAAGTAACAGAATGATTTCCATGATGAGCAGGGAAATTATCCAGCTTCATCTTGGGAGAGGCTGTGAAGTTGCTGCTTCTAGCAGAGAGGAAGGAATCCTTAGCGGATAAGTCAGCTGAAACTCAGACATGAGCAATGCAGCATGACTTCTCACAGATGGGAATACTCTGCAGTCCACTCACCCAACAAAAGAACACCTGTTTGTCCTAGGAGCAAACAGGTGTTGGGATTCTGCAGAGAACAAAACAAACAAGCATCCCCACCTTCATGATCTTACATTCCAAGGGTGAGGACGGTGAACCAAGGGTCTGTTGGCTAAAGGCTAAGGAGGAAAACAAAGCAGCACACAGCATGCATGAGGTGCTAGCTTTACCAGTGCAGCCATAGACAGCCTCACTGAACAACAGGAAGGAGGTGAAGGAGGTCAGAGCCATGGAAGTATCTACCGAGCAAGAGTCCCTAACAACACTAGGGGCATCTTCCCCAGAGGTGATAAGCTTCATTTATGTCTGGTCTCTTTCAGGCAAACAAACTGGATGCTGTAACCATTGATGGAGCTTTAATGTTTGAGGACAGCCTGCCCCTCTACAAACTGAAACCCATCGTGGCAGAATCCTATGGGTCAAAAGATGGTATGTTCTCTCTGGGACCACAGGTCTCTGGTGTGACATGGAGCCACTGGGAGAGGCAGGGACTTTGCCAACAGTATTAACTACTTTTCTTACTGTTGTGATAAAGTGCCAGACAAAAGAAATTTAAGGAGGAAGGGTTTATTTTGGCTCATAGTTTGAAGTGATATAGTCCATCATGGTGGGGAAAGCATGATAGTGGGAGCATGGTGTAGCTGGTCACATTGCATCAGTGGGGAGAGAGAGAGAGAGAGAGAGAGAGAGAGAGAGAGAGAGAGAGAGTCAGGCTGTGCTCAGCTTGCTTCCCTTTTTATTCAGTCCAGAGCCCCAGGCCATGGAATGATGCTACCCAGATTCAGAGAGTGGGTCTTCCATTCTCAATTAAATCTTCTAGAAACTCCCCCAGAGACACACTCAGAGATGTATCTCCTAGGTGATTCCAAATCCAGTCAAGTTGACAATGAAGATGAACCATCGTTCATCACAGGGAACCAACTTGCTGGAGCTCTTTGGATTGAAGAACACAGTCATTTGGGCTGACCCACAAGGGTTCAGATGAGAAAATTGAATCTCTTGTGTACCCTGATGGAAATGCTCTTGGTTCTGCAGATTGTAGGGTGGCCATAGCCTCAGAGGGGTGCTGTCCAGAGTGTCACCCACCATTAGGGCTGTACCAATGACAGACCACTTCTAGGGACACAGAAGGCTCTGACTGCATCTCCCCTGTGCTATCTCCTGCATGCATTGCACAGCATAGTCCTGTATCTCGTACGAGAGGCTCTTGGTGAGTCTATGAAGGGGGCTTTGTCTCCTTCCAACTTGTGTCCTTTAGAGTCATCAGTGTGTGTGAGACAGCTCAGTCCAGTCTGACTTCAACTTATAGGCCCTAGGGACACCCCTCATCATGCCTGTCACACCTTTACCTTTGTGATTGAGCTGTGGGCAGAGAGGGCAGAATAATCCTTGTAGAAGCAATGCTATTAGAGGCTAAAGCTTTTAGCCTCTGTACCATCGACAATGGAAGGGGAGTGTTTGAGGCTCTGTGGGCTTAGTGTGACTGGAAACAAAACAACCCTTCAGGCATACCTCAACTTACAATGACCATATAGCCTGAGAATCCCATTTTAGACTGAAAATTATATAAGCCAGTAACATTTCCAGCACACCTGGTCTAGCAGACATCCTAGGTTATCAACATAGAACCCTCTGACCCAATGGCTGACTGGGTTCCCTGCTTACTGTGTCTGCTTAGCTTTAGGAGAGATTCAACACATTTGAAGGACCAAATTCAGAATTCAAAGAATGGCTTCTATTGGTTTTTACACCACCATAAATTAAAAAAAAAAACAAAACCCAAAACTCAGAAGTCTAACTTTGTAAGTCAGAGACCGTCTGTGATGTTTGCTGCTTTGAAAAGGTTGGGTTGTCTCTCTCCCGTGAGACTTTTTTCATTTCCTTTTTTCCGTGCTTTTAGGGGTTGGTACAGGGCCCAGAATCCTCCAAAGTCCCAAACTGCACCGGCCTTGGAAGGTCAGTAGACATGATGTGGCAGATCCTTTTGGTCTTTCTCTCTGCTCCTCTGCAGATCCACAAACCCATTATTATGTCGTGGCTGTGGTAAAGAAGGGCACAGTCTTCCAGCTGAACCAGCTCCGAGGCAAGAAGTCCTGCCACACGGGCCTGGGCTGGTCTGCTGGCTGGTACATTCCCCTCAGCATACTGCTTCCCTCTGGCTCTCTGGAAACAGGTAAGACCGCTCATGTGAGTGCCCTTGGGTGAGGCTCCTATATCAGGTGGCCCAAATAGGTTATGCTGGGGTTACACTCTATATTAGTTATTTTTCTTGTTGCTGTGACAAAATACCCAACTTAAGGAAGAAAAGGTTGATTTAGGTTCATAGTTTGAGGGTACAGTCCGTCATAGTGGGGACATCATGTCAGAAGGAATGTGAGGCATTGTGGATGCTCAGCTTGCTTCCTCCTTTTTATTTAGTCCAGGACCCCAACCCATCAATGGTGATACCCATGTTCAGGGTAGGTCTTCCTTCTTTAGTTAAACTTTTCAGGAAACACCCTCATAGACACACCCATATGTGTGCTTCCCTGTGATTCTAAATCTAGTCAAGTTAACAATGTCGATCAACACCATGCTCAGTCACTGCCAAATGTATGTGTTTTATGGTCTCTGAGATGGAATAAGAATGTGTCACCAGCAACCAAGAGAGTTGCTTGGTAAAGGTACTTCTGTCTCTCTGAGCTGTCAGTCTTACTTCTTGAGAATCGCCACAGCTTGGCTCAACCAGGGCATTCTTGAAGGCTTCTGAGGAAGGTCACCTCCCTCCACATCTCCCAGGATGGTTCTCTGGGGCTTCCAGACATACCACCAGCCCTCAGGTTTCCATGTATTAAATGAAGGCATGGGACACTGGCAAGACATGATGGCTGGGCTGACACTAGGATTTTCCTGGATGCTCCAGGCTTCTTGATAAGTTCTGATCAGCCACAGTGAGCATAGGTACCTTCTCTGCCCTTGAAGATGATACCTGCACTCTACAAAAGTGCACCTTTGGAACTGTCATCCTTGACAGTATTCACGTTTTAATAGTGACAGAGACAAGAAGCTGTAGGGTCTGATGATGAAGTACCACAGTCTAGGTCACGCTCTGTCCATGTTTTAACCTTTCTGGGATATTCACTTGCCATGGTGACAGATACACTAGGCGTCTGTCTGGGCAGTTAGGCAGTGGCTCCTGGCTTGCCCCTCTGCTGCCTCACCAGCAGGCTCTACCAATTCCCTACTAGAACAGGAATCCCATGAGTCACCACAGCCTCTGGATACAGAAGGGCTGGAGGTGGGGTGGGCTCATGTCTGATGATAAGGAAGGGCTACTGAGGGTAACTGATCTGTAAGGATCGCCTTCTTCAGTGTTCTGCCTGGTGCCTTAGGATGCCCATGTTGGGGAGTTAATTAGGCAAGTGGCACAGGTCACATCTTGCGTCCATGTGGGCCAGCAGTTTGCACACTGCAGCAGACAAGCTGGGGTCACATTTTCATAGGCTTGAGCCTGGGCCCACATGAATATGGTGCTCTCACACACAGAGCCCTGGGCCATCCATCCATTCACTCTAGAATGGGCATTGTCAACCACTTATGGCAAGCTCCATGTGCATACCCGCTTCCTAGGGGAAGTCCTGAGAAGTGTGTACAGACTCACAGCATCTCCCATAGGGCACTCTCGCACACAATCCTGAGGCTCTAGTGAACTCACACTCTGTGGCCTGTCTCTGTGTTGAGCAGCAGCAGCCACATTCTTCTCCAGCAGCTGTGTCCCCTGTGCGGATGAGAAGAAGTTCCCCAGCCTATGCCAACTGTGTGCGGGGAAAGGGACAGACAAGTGTGCCTGCTCCTCCCGTGAACCATACTTCGGCTACTCAGGAGCCTTCAAGTGAGTGACATCCTCTTGCTCTGAAGCTGGGGAGTCTATTGATTACTTTCTCATCACTGTGACTGAATACCTAATGAGAAGCAACTTATGGAAGAAAGTGTTTATTTTGGATCATGGTTTGAGGGGATACGGTTCATCATGATAAGAAAAGCATGGCAGCAGAAGCCACAGGCCACACTGCAGAGAGAGATGAATGCTGGTGCTCAGCTTTCTCCTATTTAGTCCTGGTCTCTAGTCTGTGGAATGGTGCCACCCACATTTAGGGTGGGTTTTCCCACTTTAATTTACCTAATCTAGAAACTCCCCCACATATGACCAGAGACTTATCTCTTAGGCTAGCCTAGATCCAGTCAAGTTGACATTATTGATTGTCACAGGGAAACAGAGGCCCAGGGAAGATAAAAGTGAACCAAGAAGAATAAATGGGGGCCCTCAACAAAGTAGAAATGGAAGCAGTCCTCACACTCACTGTCTTGAACAGGGCCTACCCTGGCACCTCAAAGGCTTGACCACCTGAGTTTCTCCTGTGGCCTACCCTTGCTCCTAATCATCCTGAGGCACACTCTCTGTGGGAGACTTTCTTATCTTCTCAAAGACTGGGACCAGAACATATTTCCCTTCAGGATAATGGAAGTGCCAAGGGGACAGACTCATCTCTGGGGATTGGGCTACTTGGGGCTCAAGAGCCTCCCGGTTTACCACCTTCTGTTGAACTTTTCCCTGTGCCCCAGCCTGGGCTGGACTCTCCCCATCCCTTGGTGCCTTGTCCCGACCCGCAGGACACTTCTACAGTGGCACGACGAGTGGGGGTCCTAGAAAGAATGACAAACAAGGAACACGAAGAAAGGGAGCAAGACAGTGTTCTGATCAAGCTCCAAAATTTTATTTGAAAGCAGCAGACATATATACTGGTAGTGGAAAGAGAGGGGGGGGTGAGGAGAAGGAAAGTGCTGGGCAGACACTAATTGGTGTTGTTGGATGCTATAGCTAGGGGGGGTTATTCAAGGGGCATTTCTTATCCTAAAGGAACATCTGCTAACTGTCATGGTGAGCATAAAACATTTCTCAAGGCTGACTTAGCCTGGGTCACAAAGTTGTTTTTCTACATTCTTTTAACTAAGTGCTATCTTATAGAAACTTACAGAAAACCATTAAGCTGTTTTTTCTCAAGGCCATAAAGATTTACAGGAAACCATAAAGCTGTCTTTCTCTCAAAGCCATAAAGATGTTTCTCTTCTGGCCTTTTGGCTCCCAACAAAGATTTTTCTGATTTTCCTCTGTTTTCATTTGTAAGTATGATTCTGTTGAAATAAATCAGGCAAAGGGGAAAATTTTAACATATATTTATGATGACAATTAAAATTTTATTTCTTCATTTTAAAATTCAATCAGGC